CGAAATCGACCTCGGTATTTTCGGTCAGATCGGTCGGATTGGTCGATCTCGGGGTTAGCATCCCTCTCCCCAGGAGCGGAAAAAAGGATCGGGTATATTGGTTTTTTGGGGATTAGAAGGAATAGGAGCGGGGAATGGTTAAGGGTAGAGAAGGAATTCGGTTGGAAGGTAACGGCGCGGTGCGGGAGTGGTCACGCGCTTGTTGACGCGGTCGTGGCGCGGTGCAGGATGCTCGCTCGCTTGTGTGGCGCGGCGTCGGTGCGGCGCGAGGAAATACCACGAAAAATACACATGTTTTCGTGGTATTCTCCGACGCTTCGGAGTTCGCGTATCGTGATACTTAAAAAAGGAGGCATAAATGCCTCTTGCGGCCACTGCCGCACTCCGCCTGTTGTTCGGCAGTCCCCGACGGATGGTCTGTCGGGGGAAAATCGAAGGAGGAACGGAGCGGAGGGATGCGCTCCGTTACACAATAATTCAATAAAATTTTTTGGCAACTACAAATTGACATTAATTTTGGATTAATAATATCTTTTTTCAAAGTTTCTTTTTTTACTTTATATAATTAAAAGTTTGTGCCAATTTTTGATATTATATTTTTTATAGAAATAATAAAACGATTCAAATAAAAATGAATTACAAAAAAAATAAATTTAAATGTAAAGTTCTTTTTACTTTATTAAATTACCGAAGTTGGTGCTAGTTCTTCATATCACATCTTTTGTACCAATATGAAATTTATTATTAAAAAGATTTTTCTAGATGGAAATGTTTGTATAAAATTCTTTCTTTTACATAAATAAGAAAAGGGGCGCGTGAACTTGGCATTATTTTTTAAAAGGTAATTTTATTAGGTATATATTACCTACAAGCTGTTAATATATGTAAAAATATATATATATGTAACTGTTTTATTTTATATGTAATAAAATAATATATGTTATATATATAATGCGTATGTATAGAATTAATTTTATTTTGTATTTTGTAGGCAAGAAAAAGTTTTTTTGTATATTTTATATATAAATAAAGATATTAATAAAATTTATTTTATGTATGTATATTCAATTTTAATACATGGTTATGAGCTGATTGTTCCAACTTCTTAGTAAGCTAACTGATAGACAAATCATGTATTCGTCTTTATCTAACTTGATGGAAGAACAAAGACAGATACATGATTTAACTATCAGTTAGCTTACCAAGATGTTGAAACAATCGGTCATATAATTCATAATCATATAATTTATAAATTTTTGTTGCTTTTAGCAGAGAGAAATCTGAAAGCGGACATGCCCGCGTTTTAACTTGGACTTTTAATAGCTATATCCAATATATTGAAGAAAACAATTCCTTGCGCGCCTAGCAACGATGATCGCCGGGAGGAAATATCTAACCGCGCGCTTGCATTCGGTAGGCCGGGTTAATACGGTGATATTTAATAATTAATAACTTATTAACTATTGAAAATTGAAACTTGAAAATTGAAAACTAGTGAAAATTGTAAAATAGTACAGGACTTTTCGACTCAGTTTAGTCCGCTCTATCTACACACGAAAATAGTCTCTATTCTTTTTACATCTGAAAATGAATTCAGAATTAGTGACATAAAAATTAATTCTTTTTGAATTCTCAATGCTATCTGAGTATACGGTATATTTACAAGTGTGAGCAAGATATACTTGTATAAACTAAGAATGCTAATAATATTTTGTAGATATCCTGGGTATATACTATAGGATATTTTTAGTATCTACTACGAATACTATAGAGCGGACGTAAGTAATTATTGAATATATATTTCGTATATTGTCGAATAGTATGTATGTCGAATTTTCTGAAAAACAGTATATTAGCTATATACTGTCATGATGTTCTCCGAAGATTTTCAGATACTACTTGTTCCGTTAGGGAAATTTAATATTTCAATAAAGACATGATCTTTCAAATGATCTAAAAAATTTATTACATTTTAATTTATTAGATTTTATTACATTATTCGAATATAAATTTATCTAAAATTTTCTCTATACTTATATATTTCAAATAGTTCTCAATCGACTTAGTTTTACTCAAATTTTCTATTGAAAAATACGATTCGAGCAGCTATTCACATTTTCGGTAAATTTAGATCAAATAACTAGCAGATGAAAGAGCAATAAATGCGCTAATCGCTACGTAAACGAATACACTCATTATGTTGAACGATAAGAAATACGTATATGGATGCCACACTATGTGGATAAATGAATTTTCATAAATACCATGTTATATCTATGAATTTTAAATATTCTATGGATTTTTATTGATGAAGGAAAATTTATTTGAAAATTTTCAATAGAAAAATGCGAGAAATTTCAAGAAGATTAGATTTAAGAATTAATTGAAATTTTTAAAGTTATTATATAATAATTATTTGATATAAAATATGCATGATTTTTTAAACAATTTTTATTACTTATTTTTATATAACATAATCTTTACACACTAAACAAGTATGGGCACTAGTAAGTTTTAAATAATAATAGTTTAACAGATTAAAATTTTATTATGATGCGTTAATAATAATAATTTTAATAGTTGATTTAAAAAATTTTGATACTTGATTGCAAATGAGAACAATAATAATTAATATTTTGAATATATTTTTATTTACCAGCGCAACAGTCCGTATCAAGAGGATGGTCTGTGGTCAGTAAAGTCATTCGCTCTAAAATATATATAAACATGTCTCTTATTAGGATACCAAAACCGAGTCTACTTTTTCGTAAAAAAAAAATGGCTTGAAGATATTTCGAATAAAAATTATTCGAAGTTTGTCAATATAAAAAAATTGTAGTTTATAAAAATTTATAATCTTAAAAGTTATTATTAAAAAGATAAAAAAATTGTTAAAAAAGCATTATACGAATATAATTTATTTAAAATAAATGAAAACTTTATTAATTTAGCAATAGAATAAATTATGTGAGATATGCAATAAGGAATTTCAATTATTTTATAATTAAACTATGCAAAGATTTTGTTTTCCAGATTTTGAGATACCAAAATACTTACCGCTTGGAGGCTTATAAACCTTTTAAACGTGAAATTGTTGATGCAATCTTGATCGATGTGATGCGGGATTATTTTATTTACCGGCTTGTCAATCTCAGATTTGCAAATCTGCCAAAAAATGTTAGAAGTGCGTAATAAAATTTGCAGAAAGTTTTATAACTGGTAATCTATCGATCAGTTAAACAAATATATTAATTACGTCAAATTAATTAAGAATCTTGAATATATCTAAATATATTTTTTAATTCGTAAATTTAATTAAATTAATGTTTAATATGTAACATTAAGTGATTTTGAAATAATTTCTACTTAAATTTTCATTTCCACAAGAAAGTATTTTACGTATTTTAATTTTATCAGAATGTTTATAAAATCATTTACTAATTACATCATATAAAAAATCTACTTTTTATTTAAGTGACTATATTCATTTTAGTCAATCTTATTGGTGCTTCCAGATACAAAAAAATTGTCGTTGCTATATCAATCGTTCAGAAGTTGAAGCAAATCGATTTTGGCAAGTTATGATGTTCAGCGAGATACATATTTGATCCAATGTGTGATCGAACTCCGGAATTTACTGCAACGGGCCTTGTTGTGGGGATTTATTACGAATGAATATATTATTACAAATGAATATGAATATAAGGAAAAAAATCGATTAAGAGATTTTATGACAGTAACCAATAAGTCTTGATACTCGTTAAATATGTGAATTAAAGGAATATAAATAATACTTCAAATTTTTAGAAATGAAAAAATAAAGAAAAAATAATGAAAACCAGATTAAAGATAAAAATATATTCTACTCATAATAATTAACTTGAATATTTGAAGAAAGGATGATTGATCCATATTCGCACGTGCGCGTGCTTATGCACGCACATAAATTATATCACATATGTTTCACGTTTTTCTTTATTGTTATTAAATTAATAATATACACACACACACACGT